TCATTTTTCCACAAGACTCATCATTTGGTGCAGAGGGAAAACACGCAATCATGTTAAGGCTTCATGTTCAATGTAAAGTACAAGAAGAGAGATCAATATATAAAATAGATTGATATTATTTGACTGGATGGGGGGGGAGTTGTTTTGCCTTTTTTTTTTCTTTTTTTTTTTTTTTTCATCTAGAATTAGAGAAAAACAGATCTCACCAGGTGCTAGAGAACTGCACACAGCCCAGATCATGAAAAGCACCTATTCCCTCTCCTCCAGGTAGTTATGTGTATGCTCCAGGTAGTTGTTTATGTGTATGCTCGCACTGGGAGCACATCCAGCCACTGGATACAGTAATATCTTTTGCATCAGCGTTACCTGCAGAGTGTGTTCAGAAAGCGTTACCCAAAGTATGTCAGTAGTGAACACCCCCTACACACACCCTAAGGATGCTGCTGAGGTTGAACTGATATTTATTGACTTGTAATTTGGTAAATGCATCGTTACATATTTGCTTTGGACTCAATATTTCTTCCTTTTCTTCCCTAAGCTTCTGCCCATTCCATCCCCGATCCATCTCTAGTTTAAGTTGTGCAGTGATGGTCTCTACTTTTCTTCATGCCTTTAATGCCTGATTTCTGCATGGGCCTGGGAAAGCCCAGTTGATGCTCAGCCTGGGTCAGGTTCTGCCATGAGCAGAAAGGAGTCGTCATCCTGAGTTGCTCAGTTCCTCATTCAGCCCAGAGAGACTCATGCAGGTCTCCTGCCCCATCTTAGACCATCCTACCCCATCCTAAACCTGGCCGGGTGTCATTTCCGCTCATGAAAAATGTGGCCATCTGATGAGTACTGTGGACTCAGATATACCAAGAAAACATAGAATCATAGAATCACAGGATGGTTTGGGTCGGAAGGGACCTTAAAGTTCATCCAGTTCCAACCTCCTGCCATGGGCAGGAACACCTTCCACTAGACCAGGTTGCTCTAAGCCCCATCCAACCTGGCCTTGAACACTGCCAGGGATGGGGCAGCCACAGCTTCTCTGGGCAGCCTGTGCCAGGGCCTGACCACCCTCATAGTGAATAATTGCCCATACAGAGATTGGATTGTTTCTTTCCTCCTAGAGATGTAAACCTGGAGGGCTTTATCACAGGCCCTGCAAGCTGACACACATGGTACACATGCAGGTTCAGCTCAGACCACAGCATTTCTGCCTGTCCCTTAGAAGGTGCTGCACTAAGGCAGAAGGTTTAGCTCTTGTGCCTTGATGAGTATTGTGTTAGCCAGCAGGTGCTTTCTCACTCCTCTTCCAGTTCAGAAGTGGGTGATGCTCTGGGGGCAACAGAGTCCCAGTTCAGCGCCTGCAGGCTGGAACCTGCAGCCCTGCAGTCCTGAGCTGCAGCCACGTTATCAACCAGCAGTCTGGGACAAAGCATGTTTCTTGTGAAGATGATTTTCAAGTCTTCACTGAACCAAAAACTTTCAGATCCTCCTTCAGCTGCTAAGTGCTGTGGTGTGCATTGCGTGGTATGAGTGTACATGAGGACCGGGCAGCAGGGAGACGTAACTCTCCATCCAACTCTATCCATCTCAGCACTGCTCCCCATTGAGGTGGCTTGTCTGTGTGTAACCTCACGAGCTGCTCTCAATATCACCTTAGCTTCCAGGAACTACGCCATTGACCGGGTGAGGGATGTTCCTAGCCCTTCTGCTTCAGTGGCTGCAGCATGCAAATTACGGCCCATGTGTGTGCCCCGTGCTTCAAAAAAATAAAGAATACATCCATTTCAGGTGCTTGGGCACTTACTCTAAGAATGTAAATGTAGACAGCATGTCTCCGTGGGGAATGATGGTGAAAAAAAGATTTCCTCCCTAAGAGCTGAAGCCTCCATGTTTGTGTGCTTCTCTCCTGGCTTTTACCACCAGTCCATCCATGTGGGCAGTGTGGGGTGCAGGGTCTTCCCTTGGGCCAAGGAGTGTGCACATCTGTGGAAAACACCATGGGCCAGACGTGGAGATGGGTGGGATGGACCAGGTTTGTCGTACAGGGTGAAAAGTGTCCCCTCACAGTTCAGGTGTTTTGGGGAGAGGAGTGAGCGGTGAGGTCTTACTCAATTAACTGAACACTTGCTGTAACAAATAACAAAACCTCTAGGTGGTTTATCATTTGTCATCCCTGTCACACCTGCCACCATCAGGAGGTCTCTGGTGATTAACAGGAGCATGTGCCCAGGTCCCACAATACAAGGTGCAACCTGGGGAACAAGCTTCAAAACATAAAATATTCCCACACCCTCCTCTGGCTGCCTCCTGGGGAAAGGGGAGCTCTTGCTCACCATCCTCTTGCCTCCAATGTGGGTGTTTGTTAGAGATGGGTTTCTCCTGGTTTTCAGTTTTAAGGTACGCATGGGCTGGTTTTGCTTGTCTGAACAGCTGCCAAGTCTGAGGTTCAGTTCAGTCTGGGTGGAGGAGGGAATGAGCCAGTTCCTCCAAGCCAAAGCCATGGGAACAATTCTGCCATGCTGTCTCAGGTGCTGAATGGGGAGCACAAAGCGATGGTCAGGGTTTTGCTACGAATTGATACAAATTTAGACACTGCTGCCTATTTCTGTGCACTTTCAGGTCACTTCTTGAAGTTTTATTTGAGGTTTCAGGGAAGTGAAGTTGCTGGTGTGTTACGTGCATTTTCTAATGATTGTACCTTCAAAATATGCCGTTTCTCTCCTGCAGCCCTCCCCCCTACAGACACCCCTGCCACATTTTACTCACTTCTTTTAATCCCCCTATTATTAATGCAGTTTCAAAAAGACAATTTTACACATGACAGGTTTTCATGTTAATAAGAATATCAACTCTGGGCTGGCAGGGATTAGTGAAGCTGCAGCCATCCCCACATGGTCCCAAATAGCGTCCTGTTCCTTGGTGCTCCCATGGGAAGCAGGGCCTTGCAGCAGGGCAGCACTCAATGTGAGGATGGGAAAGATGTGCTGGTGATAGATGCTGTGCCTTGCAGCAGCAGCACAAGGATCGACTGTGCAGGATGCTGGCAGTGTCACCGTTGCACAGGGTGTGGGTAACGTCACCGTGCATTGGGTACTGGCAGCATCACCATTACCCAAGGTGCTGGCGGTGTCACCATTACACAGGGTGCTGGTGATGTCACCATTGCGCAGGATGTTGGCAGTGTAACCCTTGCGCAGGGTACTGGCATTGTCACCATTGCATTGAGTGTTGTCGGTGCCACCATTGAGCAGGGTGGCGGCTGTGTCACCATTACACTGGGTGCTGGCCCCCTCACAGTTACACAGGGTGCTGGAGGTGTCACCATTGCACGGGTGCTGGCAGTGTCATCGTTGCAGTTTGCTGGCCTAGTCACCATCACACGGGGTGCTGTCAGAGTCAGCGTTGTGCATCGCTGCTGTGCCAGCTGAGTTGCCCCTATAACTGATGCACGTCAAAGGGAGCAAACAATGAACAGGCTTAAAAAAAGACGAAAACCACACGGCACAAACAAACCAGGTATTTGCTCAGAGGGGTTGTACGGTTTTAATGCCCTTAGCATGTAATTATTTATGAGTAGCTCTCCTTTAATCAACGGCAGCATAGGGACCGTGCTTAAACATAAACACAGTCACAGATCATAAACCCTTGCTGGCAAAGCCAGACAAAACTGATCACTAATAGCTTTGCAGTTGAGCAAGAGGGCTCAGAGATTGTTGACAGACACGAGTGGCTGCAGAGAACAACCAGATTATCAACACTAAAGTAGTACTGTGTGCATTCAAAGCACTTGTAAATAATGGCCAACGCTTGGGGAAGGGTGATGCATTGCTCCTGGGCAGTGAGGTGAGTGCTGGAGAGGTTCCCAGCGCAAGGGGTCCATCCTGGCTGTGCATGAACAGCCAGAGGAGGCAGATGAGGCACCAAGCTCTCTGCAAAGGTCCTTAAACACCCAGCGAGGTGCCTCAGTGGTGAGTGCCTCCTTGCTCACTCTCCTGCTGACACCACATGCCAAGTACTTAACTGACATTATTTCTTTGAAAACATGGAGCCAGTAAGTGCATGTCAGTAGGCTCCTATATTTATCTCCTCATACATCCATCAGTCCCTCTCCTTTCCCTGCTCGTCCTTCCCATGCCAAACCTCAGGTTGTGCTCTGGAAGCTTCACTGGGACATCATCTTCTTTGAAGCCAGTGGGAGTTGTGCCTGAATGATTACAACAGTTTTCTCTGAGCATTCAAACTGCAGGAAAAAAATATTCTTAATTTAGTTGCGATTTACTATGAAGTGCACCAGACTTTGGGTAAGTAGGCAGTACCTGAGAGACCCTTGGGGCTGTCACTTGCCATCCATGAAGAGCTGCCGGGGAGCACAAGAAGCCTTATGAAGGAAGGCAACAGCACAAGCTGCTCACAAGGCTCTTGGAGCAGCACTGCAGAGACGGGTAGGTTTGGTGGGAAGAAAATGTAAAATCAAAAATTTAAAAATCACTATTTTAGTAATAAATAAGAATCTATAAAATATATAAAAATAAAGTAACAAAGGGAATGGACCTTCTGCAGAGCCTCGGTGACACCGTGGAGCTCTGGGGGTTTCCTCACTGCTGCCTGTGGGAAGGATGAGGAGATGCCAAGCGATGATGGGTCCCTCTGGAGCACAGGAATGAAAAGGTCACCCAGTGCCATCCCAGGATTTTTTCCAACTTGACAGTTGACCAGTGACACAGTAATCATATGGCAAGGAAGACTGGGTGAAATCCTGCACCAGAGCAGCAGAGCTGTGAGTGCCATGTGTAGCCAATGCGTGACACACTGTGCCCAGCATGCCACCATCATGGGGTCCTCCCACAACAGCTACTGTTCATGTATCACGTTGCTCAAGCTGAGCATGTTTTGGTGAAGCGTCTTTCCTTATGCATTTCTTTTCCTTTTTTTTTTCAGAATTATTTTTAGATATTCACCAAAAAAAAAAGTTGAAAATTTGGAAACTGTGTCTCGTGTCTCCTGTGCAGGCGCAAGCAGCAGGCTCGGCACAGTCCTCACCCACCCATGGAGCCAGCCGCCCCATGCCCATGCCCGTCAGATCCACCTCCGCCGGCTCTACCCCAACTCACGTCCCGCAGGACTCACTCACTGGAGTCGGGGGAGATGTGCAGGAAGCTTTCACACAAGGTGAATATCACACAGAACGGAACCACATCTGGTGTTAATACTGCATCGTCATGTAAAAGAGGGGACATTCAGACTGATACAAGGAAGTTTTTCCCTGTGAGGGTGGTGAGGCCCTGGCACAGGTTGCCAACAGAAGCTGTGGCTGCCCCATCCCTGGCAGTGTTCAGGGCAAGGTTGGATGGGGCTTGGAGCAACCTGGTCTAGTGGAAGGTGTCCCTGCCCATGGCAGGGGGTTGGAACTGGATGAGCTTTAAGGTCCCTTCCAAAACAAACTATTCTGTGATAATTCTATGTGTAACAAAAGCCTAACTCACTGATACTGAGACAATAATTACGATCCCCTTTCGTGCACTCTAGATCAAAGAAATTGGGGGCACATTTTTAATCTTTACAACTTAATGAAATTATTTCTGTGATGATGATCTTCCCTCAGGGGAAGGGATCTTCCACCCCAGAAAGTTACTTCCACAAGTAATCTAACAGACATTAAAAACTGGTCATATTTTCAAATGTGGTGGTTGAACTGTGCTATGATTTGCAAGACAGAAAAAGCACTTTAATGACTGAAAGTAGGAAAACAAACAGCTCTCTTATTCAGATTATTTAGCTAACAGCTGCCCACCTCTCTGCTGGTTATGGGGCAGAAAGGGAGATGAAATTTTGCAGCACAATGTGGTGAAGGCTGTTCCTAACGGAGCACTTGGCTGGCGTGCACATCTGCAGAATGGCTCATGTGCTCTGCTAGAGACACAGACATGCAGCAGCCCTGTGGGGAGAAGAAAAAAAATGTAAAGTGCTAAACCTGAGAAATGGAGGAAAGAGGAGAGGAGAGGGGAGGGGAGAGGAGGGGAGAAGGGAGGGGAGGGGAGAAGGGAGGGGAGGAGAGGAGAGGAGAGGAGAGGTCAAGAGAACAGGGAAAGGGAAAGAACAATAGGAGAAGAAGATGGGAAGACCATGATGAAGAAGCAGAAGGACACACAGGACAGCAACATTCTTCTTGCTCCAACCATTGGAGTTCCTTCTTTTGCACTTTTCTACATGTTACTCCCCTGTGCATTTGCAAAAAATACCACTTTCTGGCCTAAACTCACTGCTGCCAACTGCCCCAAAAGTAGACATAAGAAATCTAATTACCAGATAGCTTCAGCTGCATTCCTCTCTGTCCGCCTTGTCCTCCGTTTCTTCAGTGAAATCAGTATGGTTGGATCAAATGGGTAAGCTGTCCATTTGGGAATAATACAGCTTATTGTGCTTTGAAGAAAAGCAGGGCAGCAGTTGACATACGTATTTTTATCCCCCAACTTCTGTAGGTAGTGTGAGTTTATACTTAGCTGCTGTTGCTTTTAAAAAAGAAAAGTTTTACAGTCACGCGTTTACGTTTCAAAAAAGTCCAACTTTCCCATGTCAAAGCCATTGTGAGCTCGAGAAAGCCTCCAAGAAGACAAGCAGATGAAATGGAAAGTTGTTCAGCTCAATGCAGGCCACTGCCTCTTCCTCAAATACTGGAGACTTGGCTGCCTGATGATGTGGGAAGGCAGCAAGCAAAGACACGACTGTCAGTCTGGTGTCAAGGAACTTGGCAAATATTTTTTTATCTTCAGGGACCTTCTCACTGCAGAGGGGGAAATCAGTGATTCTTCAGTCCTAGCTACTGCAACTCTGCTTGTGGTGAAGGAAGCGATTCCCAGTAGGAACAGATGCCAGTTTTCAGTATTTCTCAGGAGTGGTGACTCGTGGGTTTTCTGTGCTCTTTTCTTGCTTTTACCCACATTGGTCCAAAGTTCTTCATCTTTACTATTCCAGAAGCATCCCAGGATCTACAGCTGTGAGAACAGCAGCAGGACTTGGTCTCTCCTCCGACAGACGTGGAGATTGTTTCTGAACATGATCCACATTTCTGGAGATGGACATCCACTCATATATTATATTCTTCTGATTGACAATAAAAGAAGGACAGAAAATACACCTTCCACTAATGGTCTGGCTAGGACTTCAGCTGTTTGTGGGCAGAAACAACCGGCAAGCAGCAACCCTTCATATGGACCTCTTGGTGCTCCATGAGAAATGCCACTGGATATTGGACATCTTAGAGCCTCTAGTGCCAGGGCACTGCACCCTCTCTTGTGTGTCAGTCCTTTGCAGTCAAGAAGAGCCCTTGCCTTGTTGCAGAGGTCAGGTTGTTTAGTTCTTTAAAAAATGACAAGTTTTATCATATGGAGTCTCAAAACTAGAGGTGGTGTTTTCTCATTCTGGGTAGGGAAGATCGTGAATATTAGTGTCAAATACCTTTGTCAGATGGACAGTCTCCTTTCAAAACAAACAAACATGAAAACAAACTTACCAAAACTGATGATATATTTCAAAACCAAACATATTTTAAATAAAAATTTGCATTTATCAGCTGCTCATTGGATGTATCCTTCTAGAACAATCTTCTTCCTTGCCTAAATGAGCTGCTGCCAGAAGAAGGTGGGGAAAGAGACTACAAAATGGTAGCAGAGGAGTAGGAAGTATCAGTGAATACTTATAGTTGGCATGTGATGCCAAGTGAGGACTGCAAGCATACTCAGTATGGGGAAAGGCTGATATTTGTTCTCCAGAGCCAGGTGATGGAGAACATCCAGTCAGAAAACACTAAGCATCTACAACTCAACTGTGAGAAGATATGTCTTTTATGATCCCATTGATAGGAGCAAGCTCCTCATCTCTAAACACTTCCAGAACCGACAGCAGAAGCAGGCATTTCCAGGGAGGCAAGATGCCAAATACCAGAGGCACAACACTCCATCTGTTGCTGTGGGTGGTCCAGTCGCCTCCTCTTCATCTCTACAACAAGTTTGATGGTTACAGCCGAGAGCTCTCAACTGATTTCTTTGGCAGCTGCCTCTCCTTCCCTCCTTTGCAGATTGGCTTTCTTTTTCCAGGCTGAGTGAAGTGGAACAGCAGCGCAATGAGTCCTACCAGTTACTGGGAAAATCTGGTCTATCTGTCTCATCATTTTCCCCTTTTCTTTTTTAATTAGGAAAGCACAAAGAGATGAATTGATCTTCTTTCTGCTGCTAGGAGTAATGAGCACATGATTATAGTAGTACAGTCACTGTCCTACTTGATCATTTTTCACTTTACAGTATTGCTTTGGCATCCAAATTTGCTCTCAATCCATCTGTGGTTTTTTTTTTTGAAGAACCTGGCAAAAGCCATGACAAAGCAAACTTCCTTCTGCACAGTTTACAATCACCAGAGGTGTCTTCCTCAAACTCCTGGCTTCAGTAGAAACTGATGTAATTAATCAAGGGCTCATTCATGCCTTTCACCTGAATGACTGGTTCAGAACGGGATAGTCTTTGTCAGGACCTGTTAATATTGCCCAAAGTGAAAACTTGTTTTTTTCTAGGTTTTTTTAACACCTGACAGCATTGCAAACGTGTGTTGCAATGAACCAGGTGGTGTAAAAAACTATTCTGGGTTGGGCTAAGGACTTGTGCGGCAGCTGCATCACAACAGCTTGGTATCGGTGGTGGTGATGGCTCCCCAGAAGCAAAACACCTATAGGCAATGCCTGCAGTACAGGTATTGGGGTGGGGGGGTAACAAAAACATTTAAATTCTTTTTGCTAACTTTCACATATCCACCAGATTCTTATAAAATGTCACTATGGAGTGAGGAGGAAAAGGGAGGGAAGATGCCAGCGCTGTTCCACCTCTTGCTGCTGTGACCTAGGAATGGGCAGGGATGCCAAGTCTTCTGTGAGCTTCTCCATCAACGCAGGAAGGTTTAGAGAAGGAAACCTTTAAAGAGTTGAATCCCAGTGATCTTGATCATGCTCCATCCCTGGAAGGGTTCAATGCCAGGCTGGATGGGGCTTGGAGCAACCTGGTGGAAGGTTTGCCTGCTGTGGCAGGGGGTTGGAACTAGATGATCTTTAAGGTCATTTCCAACCCAAACTACTCTGTGATCCTATGATTTTATGATAGAGTCTTAAGATTAGATAAGTTTCCTCCATAGGTGATCTCTCAATCTTCCACTTGGCCAGAGGAAGAATGCAGTAATACAGTATGAGAATAGAATGCCTTGATGGCATTCCAGTTGAAATACACTGATACAGAGGCCATCATCTAATTAGAAAACTAATGCTGCTCTTTATCATCTTGAAGAAGAAGAAAACATCCCTCAGGATTTCACAGAGGCACCACCACCAGCAGAAAGATGGAAGTTCCTCATGTGATAACTGCAGTAGTGGCTTATCCGACTACTAGAACAACTCTTGCAAGAAAAAATGGTCAGCAGACTCCTTAATAAGTTTCCTGGAATGATCCTTCCGGAAAGGCAATCTGTGCAATTAGTGCTATTTCATATTAATCATGCAAAATCAGGCAAATTCAAGGCAAGTGGAGAACACAGGAAACAGGATAAAATTTCTGTGTTTGTATATAATAAATAATTTAATGCCACCAGCCAGGAGGCCTTTGGGTGGCTTCTGCACGTAGATGCCCAAACGAGCTCATTAACATTACTCATCTCTTTCACAGGGGAGACAGGCTGGAATTTTACAGCCTTTCACTCCCAAAAGTAACCTCAGGTACGATGGCGGCCGTGCTTCCCTGTTTCCCTGTCCCATACAGTGACAGAACTCTGAACATCTGGAGACCTGGATAAAGAGGCCTCCATTGTATAAGAGATGCAGAGGAGTCCCCTGTATCATGGGTCCCAGACTTGTTGGCCAAAATCTGCTTTTTTCCCCAGGTATTGCATGCTGTTTGCACATGCACAAGAAGACCCAGTGCCTTGATCCTGGGTTGGGCATGATGCCGGTCAGTTGGCAGCCTAACCTGGAGGGAAAGCTGCCGATAGAAAGCACGTAATCTCAGTAGCATGCTCTAGCAGCGCTCAAACAGCACTAAACTCCACAGGCAAAATGTAGGAGTAGGTACTTGGACACCCCCCAGCCAAGGATGGAGTAAAAGCCAGCACCCCATTTGGAAGATTAAAGCGGCATGTCTGGAATGAGAGATGTCTGACTTCAAACGAAAGTAAATGTGTAATGTACAGTTGTCATTATTGCAGTTGAGTACAGCTGCAGAATGTCACATCACATGTCTGGCAATCCCACACGTGTTGTCTTCATGCCCTCACTGGAGCAAATGACAGGACGGGATCTCAAGCTCCGAGATCTTAGAGCATGATCAGGCACTCAGCATCAAAGTGGTGCTCCTGGAGGCTGCACCAGGGCGGACATCTGGTGGGATAACAGCCTGCTTGAAGCCATTTTCTGTGAGCAGTTAAAAGCATGGGAAAGGCTGAGATGGGGCCAACACACCGTTACAGGAACCTGCTCCCAGCAAAGGCTCAGCTCGGGGCCATCAGCGCCGCAACCTGAGAAACTGCGGCTACAGACCACCTGCCGGGGCAGAAAACGTGACCCCACACCTTCAAAACCTCCAAATAAAACTGAAACAGCGCAGCGCAAAAAAGGGTGCCAGAGGAAAGGAGGCTCGGCGAGGACAAGGAGTGACGTCTGCAGCGGCTGCAGGCGTTGGGGCTCTACAAAATTGGGCCGTGACCGGCAAGATGCTCTGCTGCAAGAATATGGATGTTTTTGCCAGAGGGACCAGCACAGGGAACCAGAATAGATGGCTGAGAAGATCATTATCTTCCCAGCATCAAGCAAGAGGCAATAAGCATCATCCCCGACACATGGCAGCTTGCTCATCTCTTTTACAGGCAGCAGCCAGTGTGACAATTCCTTTGCAGATTGTGGCCCCTTGCTGGTCCCTGTCGTTCTAGCAGAGCTGTGGCAGATGTTCAGGGTGCTAATGGCATCCCTCAAACAGAGCCTCGCACAAGACAGGTTTTCAGACAGTAAACAGGCAGGTCAATGTCACCATGAGGGACAGCTAAGTGCCCATCCCCTGGCTGTGTGGCACACCGAGGAAGAAGACTGCTTCCTCCATCAGTGCAAGAGGAGAGCAAGAATTCAGTTATCTTTTATTCTGCTCAGACCTCAGTGATATTGATTGCACCAGAGAAGCCAGCAGTGATAACGACTGCACAAATGAGGAGCATGGATGAGCTGTGTCACGGCCAGCACCCAGCAACTCCTGTCCTGGGGAGAGAAGCATCTGCCCTTGAGCTGTCATACGAGCACTGTCCTTGTCAAGAAGAGTGGTGTGATAGCTAATTAGCCAAAGAGGTGATCAGGCAGACAAGCAGAACTGGTTCCAGAGCAGGTCCCCATCCTTCACTAAGAGGAGCTACTTTGACAGGGTGCTGCCATACACCAGCACACCAAGCTGTCCTGCAGGGGGGACCCTGGTGAGGACCAGTGAGGGACACGTGGCCAAGCACTGTGTCATGAGGAGGTTGGGCAGTGTCAGAGGGGCACGTGTAATTCCTGCTGTTTGTCTGCTCCCAGGTACGAGGAGGAACCTCCGCAACGACCTGCTGGTAGCGGCCGATTCCATCACCAACACCATGTCATCTCTGGTGAAGGAACTTCATTCAGGTAAGAGTCAATTTAGCGGCACACGCGCACAGCAGGAGAACAAGAGCTTGAAGCCACAGGCTGGAGATTGAGATTGCCTCAAGATTTATTCTTTACAAAAACTGTTTAAAGCATCATGGGAGGATACGGTTTCATTTTTTGAGTGATAAAACATCACTTTTGTAGCTGACATCGTTGAGAATGCCAAGTACCTCCTGAACAGGCTGTCCACTGATTTTATCGCTGATAGTTAAGGCAATACTCTGGATACCAACCTGGCTGGTGACACCGTTGGTGATTCATGAAGCAGACTTGTATCTAGCTCCCATTCTGCTGTGCATATTGATCCATGCCTGTGTAGCAGCACTGAGCAGCTTTTCCAGTGTACCCTGCAGGCAAGTCCCAGACCACTCATTAGGCAGGAGAAGTGCCACTTCCCTGTCCCACTTCTGGAAGCCAGAGCTCCTTAACAGCACCAGCCAGCAAGTCATAAGCCAGGGCAGAATTTTTGAGTGAGTCTCCCTAAACTATTGCTTAGTGATGGCAATGCTTGAGCAGCAGGTGAAACTCCTCTACAACCAATGCCCATTAGAGGCCATAATTGCAAACATACAGAAAAGGTACATGAGGATTAAATAGCAATGTGAAAAAAAAAAGATTATTATTTTCTTTGTTTGCTTTTACTGTGCCAGTGAACACCTTGATGGGATGGGAGCAGCTCCTGCTGTAGCCCAAGGATGCATCCTGTGGCTCTCAAGCCTTGTCAGCAATGGCGTTTGTGATCATCTACTATTCCAGCAGCTTGTCTGTGGGCTGCCCTCTCTTTTAAGGGAGAAATAAAGCATTCTGTATTCAGCCTGAACCTCGCGGTTTCTGTTTCACGCCTCCCCCAGCCCATTGCTGTATCCGGTAGTGGCATCACATAATCCCCTTCATAAACTTATCAAACTCCATGTTAAAACCAGTTAGGCTTTTTGTTCCCACTGCCCTTAATGAAGAACTCACAGTTATAAATCGGGTTGATATTTTACTGCTAAGCCGTAAATTCACCCAGTCTAAATCCTGTGTCTTAGCTGCAAAGGCAGCTGTGAGTTAATAAAGTCTTTCATGTATGACAGCAATATCACTGGTGCCATTGCAGTGAAGGGCCATGTATTTCTTCAATAAATCACCATGCTCAAGATGCACACAGCTCTCCTCCCTCTAGGCTGGAACCCAGTGAACAAACCCGCTGCCCAAAACAGATGTCTGCAGTAATTTATTCTTTGCTTTTAACAGAAGAGCACATTTGCAGCGGTGTGGCTGAGCTCAGGCTCTGGCCCTGGGTGGCTGGTAACAGAGGTGAAAGGTTGGCTGGACCCACAGCTCTCCTGCCCTCCTCTGAGATCCCTGGCAGCTTGGCAAAGGCAAACAGCCCAGGTTTGCATTACTGACAGCCCTTTCAGGCTTGTCAGGGATCGTGCAAGGCAGTTACGGTTCACAAGGGAGTGAAAATGGAATTAATTACAGTCTCCTACTTGAGGATATGCAGATACTGAAGAAGGCTCCCTTGAAAGTCTCTGAAATCATTTCATTTGTGTAAATTAGGAAAAGCATGAGTTATCCTCAGCTGATGAGAGTCGGTGGGATTTAACACATATTGTCCCGGAGGTAAGCTGTGAGAATAGACACCTCCTCCAGCCCCAGGCTCACCCAATATAGCTGCAGGCATTGTGCTCTGAGGGTTCTGTGAGACACTGGTGTGTGCACCACCCACACCTCTGTTTGCTTCTCCCTGCCTTTGCACAAGCTCGGAAAACAGATTCTTTTGGAAGGGAAACACTGCTTGGGGTTACCCCTTCCTAGATGGGCTTCCATAGATGCTCTGGTTGTGCTCCCAGCCATCTCCTCCTGCACCAAAAGCCTGATGCTCCTGGTGCTACCTAAGGAACACTGGCATCACTTTTACACCAACTGAGCTTAAAAAGACATGCAGGGATGATCTCCAGGGACCAGGCATGATGCTGCTGGATGGCTCAGCCCTCCCCTGTCAGGCTGCCCAACAGAAGGCAGGTTCAGGACCCAAAGCAGCTATTTTGCTTCAGGTCGTGACTCTTGTGATTAAAAATGTTTTGGTTTCGTCAGTGATCTCTTCTGCACTGGCACTAAGGACTCATCTGTAGCCATCAATTAGCAGGCACTGAGTGTGACTCCTGGATGTCTCATCGATCCTGCTGTTAAAGCAACAAAGAGAGCAAATGTCTGTAAGATCCTCTTTGATCAAATCAATTCAGAATGCTTCAGGTTTTCAAACTGTACCTTTCATTGCTCTCAGCAGCATGTGAAGTAGGCAGAAGTGATACCACTGCTCATAAATGTTACCTGTTTACACAGGTCTCATTGAAATGTTGTGCAGAGAGATACAAGCCATCATCTGCAGAAGAATGTGACCTTCTGCTCCCACTCTCTGCTCCATAAATACAAGCCTGGTCATAAACTCTCTTCAACTTAATCAGAGTTAAATACAGTGAATCACCAGCTCTCAGGAACAGAACAAGCACTGGTCTCTCTAGGCACAGCCTGTCCCCAGTTTTGTGGCTTTGCTGCCATGTCAGCATTGGCATCACTGAACACCTTGCATAGGCACCTGCAGCACCAGGAGGGACCCTCCAAGCTTTTCACCACACCAAACCGTTATATTTCTACCTTAGATTTGACCTCAGCATGAAAGTTGTGTCTTCCTTCCCTCTGTGTATATTGTGCAGTTCTTCATTGCTTACAGCGCTGAAGTAATAGTGCACAAGGGACTTTGGTCCCAGTACTGCCGGGGCAAAGTAGTAGTCCACTAGTAGTCCATTCTTCTGGACAATGTAGGCACTGCTTCCAGCTAGCACTCTGCAATCCTCTGATCAGGATGGTGTGGGAACTGTTTTGCCACCAGCAGTGAGCAGATATCATGCCACAGGAAGGATGATGATGGGTTCTCCACCTAGGTTCTCCTTAGGAACCTGGACACTCCTTCCCCTCCAATGTCACCTATCCGTGAAAAGCCAGTTCTGCCTTGCCACAGAAAAGCCCCCCCAGCATCTATTCCCTCACTTCCTTGTCTCATGTCTGCTTTTATTTTTGTTTTCACTTTTTTGAAGCAGAGGAAGAAGATGAAGAAGAAAGAGAAAAAATGCAGAATGGAAAGGACCGAGGTAAGGGGACAAACTACAGCCTCTAAACTGTAAAACATTTTCTGACTTGCTCTTCTGCAGGAGCCCAGTTTGCCATCTCCATTTGGAGTCTCAGGAGAAGGCTCTGCACGCGGGTGGCTCCAGGTGGAAGCAGCCTGTGTTGCTGCTACACCACCTGCAGACACAGCACAGGTCTGTTTGTCTGGTCTGGTCATCACCGTGCTGTTCTCTCCAACATCTGCCGTGACTTGAGGTGACATCATGGCCAGGCTTCCTTCAGCATGTGTATTCAGCTTTCAAGAATGTTTTTCTTTCAGCAAAGGTCATGCACAGAAATGTGTCAGAGGAGGAGGAGTTGCTCCGAGTGCTGCAAGAAATCCAGTTCATATGAATGTATTAGAAAAAAACAAGGCATGGGATAGTGACCAGTGAAGGTCCTGAGCAGTGGAGCCATCATCTGCTGAGCCACTGCCTCCTGTGACCTTGGCTGGACAAATGTTCAGAATTACTCTGCTGATGGTAATCCTGTGTAGGCAGCCCTGTCGGAGGAGTGCCGTTTCACAGGAGGTCTCTTTCATCTCTGCTATCCCTGGATTGCAGGTCTGCATACTAATCCTCCCCAGACCACATCTTCCTTTGGTGCGAATGAACCCATGACACATGCTAGCAGAGTTATTCCCGGGGCTGGAAGTTATCATCACAGGCGTGGAGCGAGACTTGCAAACAACCGTGCAGCGTACGGTTGAGTTGGAGGGGTCTGCAGGAGATCTGCTCCTCGTGTCGCACTCCACAAGCCAACACCAAAGTGCCTCCCAGGCCCTTCCTCAGGAGCAGATCTTGCTCAGGGGTCTCATCTTTTGCTTTCTTATGTTTTAAACCAAAGCACAAGAAGCAGACTCAGACAGGTTTGGATCAGCCCAAGCATTTGTCTCACTGGAGCCAAAACCTAATTTCAGCATCAACAAACTGGAACTTTATCCTTTTTCCTGTTGTACGCACATTTTCCTTCTGGCTAGGTTGAAGTGGCGGGGCTCGCATTTCTCGCCAGCTCATTTTCCTAAGTTTTCGTGTCCAGTGAGTTGTGCAAAGCAGTCAGGTGTTTGGAAATGCTCTGCTTGCTGATGGTTTGTCCATCAGTATTAGATGTGATAAGTTTGTTTGAAGTGCATCTCTATTAGACATTAGAAGTTTGTAGGAAAAAGTGCAGTCAGTAAGTTTGATTTTAGCTAAAACAGGATTTTTTAGAGCATTGGCTCTAAATCACAGGACCCTTTTTGCCCTAGAACATTCCTCTTTGCTTAAATATTTTAGATGCTTAGCAGATGACCCTTCTGCTTTTTTCCAAATGCACACTGTATCTTCATGGGAAAAGGGGATTTTGAAGAGCTGCAATATGATGTATAGTAGCAGAGACCTAGTAAGACAAATTCAGTTCTGTTACTCATTGCAGCAGCAATGAAGTCGACAGGGGGACACTACTGAGACATGTAACCAAAAGCAGAGTTTGGTCCAAAAGCCTTTGTGTGGAATGTAAATACTATCTCTGCCAGAGAGTAAGTGATTTCTTCATGTCACAAAGTTACTGCGATAAAAATCTGGCAGAAGAACCAAGGAATGGTAACTCCTCCAGCCACTGAAGTATGCATGTCAATGGGGCATCAGGCTCTGGGATTTGTGCAGTCTGTGTTGGAGATGACATTCTGAAAGCACCCATTCTCTGCCCCATGTTATCTACAGGGACTTAGGGCCAGGGTGCTCCAGGTGCGTGGGGTTGGATGGGGCTGGCCAGCAGCAACCTCTACCCACCCCAACTTCATTCTTTGCACAGCGACTCTGTGTGCATCCCCATCTCAGCAAAACTTTCCCTAGCTGGTGCGTGAGCCTGTTACTTCCTCCCATCCTGAAAGAGCAAGAAGAAAAATCACTTGCAGCTCGTGTAATCCACCAGCTCTGCACTGGTGTAGACAAGGGAGGTGCTGGTCCTCACAGACTCTGCTGGCATGTGTTTCCTAGGGTCAGCAGTGCCCCTGGGCTTCTCCACAAGTTTCTTCACAAAGTATTTCATATTTCTCTGTGTCCCAATTAATCCACCTCAGAACTTGCTTCCCTGCTGGAGAAGCTTGCGTTCATACACTTGATATAGCAGTGGTGTGGTCTGGCTTTAGCAAGATGAAATCATTCGGGAAGACTCCCAAGTTGGCTGAGCCTTTTGTGGTTAGGATTACAAATTAAGCAGCATCTCCAGAGAAGAAGTCTACAAGGTTTCCAGGCACAGAAGAGCACAGTCGGGAGCTGGCAAAGCCTTGTCTATGCAGTCACATTAGATGTCATCCCACAGCAGTTCTGCCAGCCTCAGTGCTCAATTTGTGTTACCCCTTCTTGAAACCAGGCATTATGTATCCATGCATTGCACATGTGCCAGACATTATTCTAGATTGGATGTCCTGCAGTCACTGTGTGCCATGGTCCTGCTGCCTGTCTCCAAGACAGCCTGCTCCTGTTGGTGATCAGTAGGTGAACCCAAGACAGGATCACCTGAAATGAGACTCTCCATGAGCTGGTCCTTTCACGTATTGGCTGTTTGGATTTTATAACCCCCAAACTGCTAGAAAAGAGCCTGAAGATCTGCTCTGCCACACTGCTAAAGAAAGTGAATGCACACAGCTCCATGGGGAAGAACCTGGGGTCCTGGTGAACTCCAAGTTGGCCCTGAGGCAGCAGTGTGCCCTTATGTGACAAAGGCGAATGGTTTCCTTGTCTGGCAAAGGATTGCCAGTTGATGGAGGAGATCTTTCCCATGTGCTCAGCACTGGTGAGGCCACCCGTGTGGTGCTGAGTCCAGTGCTGGACTCCCCAGTAGAAGCAGGACATGGACTGGAGAGAATCCAGGGAAAGATTATGACAGTGCTTAAGGCGTTAAAGCATCTGTCACACAAGGAGAGGGTAAGAAAGCTGGGATCAAATCAGTGTGTGTGAATAACTGATGAGAAAGAGTAAAGAAAATGAAGCCAGAGTCTTCTTAGTGGTTCCCAGTGAAAAGATGAGAAGTATTGGGCACACATTGAAATACAGGAAATTCAGCTTGAACGCAGAAAATACTTCCTTACCATGAGGCTGGTCGAACTCCGGCACAGGTTGACCAGAGAGGCTGTAGGGTCTTCACTCTCAGAGATACTCAAAACCTGGTGGGACAAGGTCCTGAGCAGCCCACAGTGGCTGACCCTGCTTTGGGAGAGGTTGGACCAGGTGATGCCCAGCGGTTCGGGCTCACCTCAGAGGTGCTGGGATTTCTGGGATTTAGTGAGAGCAGGAGCCCTTTCTTACCTGCCTCATATTTCAGAGGGCTTGCCGTTTATCCCAATGCATGTGAAGCTGTTTGCAATCCTGAGAAGAGTGAGCAGCAACAGATGGGGAATGTAGATTTTTCATTTTATAGGAAATAAGAATACCTGCTTTCTGAACATGCTTTTTCCCTGTGTTGCAGGTTAGGTGGACGACCACAGGATGTACAGTAATTCAGGTAAGGATGGGTGGATTTTTTTCTTCCCATTTCCAGCAGCACTGCTCTGTACACACCATCCCAGTGTGTAGGTCCCTGATCACCTTCTGCCCTTGTCCTTTATCTTTCTTTCTGCAGAAGGAAGGTTCCCTGCCTGCCCATCATTCCACAGCCATTCAAAAGGATGTTGAGTTTTTTCCTTGTTAAGATCCAATTCTGCAGACAGTGGGAAAACATCATTAACTTCAGTGAGAACAGCATTATCTCCTGTTTTATTAGTATTGCTTCTATACTGAGAGGCCCCAGTGAGGAAACAGAACCCTATTGTGATGGACACTATCCAGATGTACTAAAAATACAATCTCTACCCTCAAAGAGCCTGTGCTTTAAGTTATAATAAGGCACAACAGATGGATAGACAAACAGGTGTTTGGAGAGCATGAGATAGCAGTACAGGAGAAAGCCTGAGCCCTGTGGTGACAATACCTCTGAAGGACTTGATTACGATCCTTATCTTCCCCATCTGAAAAGCTTGTAGGATGGCACCCGATCAGGTTTCCACACTCGGTGGGTATTTGCCATAGCCACAATACCCATCTTTCACCATTCCCAGTGGGAAGAAGGAGGGTTCTCGTGGCAGATAAGTGTACTGAGGACACACACATCATTAGCAGGAAAGGGATGGGGTCTGGTGTCATAGGTAACCTTCCTTCTAGCCCCTTTTCCTTCACACTGCAAGTTTGTTCATTATAGAAGCCATGCAGGAAAACAGTCTTTGGTCTTTAACTTACCGGCTCAGCCCATGGTGGTAGTAGACAGGTGAACTAGTCAGAATGGATCTAAAGAACAATTTTGCATAATAAAACCACCACAGTTGTCCTTTAAAGGTAATTTGCAAAGGAGGAAGAAGGGAATTTGCCCTTTCTGCCTCCCTGCCATTTCAGCGGTGGATAGAGATAACCTGAAAGTGACTTGAGAGTTTTTCTGATAGTTTTTACATTAGAAATTCAAGTCCTCCCTCATCTGAGAAACAATCTGGTAACTCAAGAAGGAGTGAAATTACACCATTAGAGAGGAAGCCAGCAGTGGAGAGCTGTTTATACCATGTGTGGCTTTTTCATAATGTCCCTTTAATTCTAATGGCTTTGGAAAAAAAGGATGGCTTTGACCCTGCTCACCCCTTAGCCACTGATCTGGAGATGGAAGCTCCCTGTTTCCTGAGAAGCCCAGCAGTGCCTCCAACACCACTAAGACTGGCACTGCTAAATGCTAAATTAAAGACAACCAAACAAATAAGAGAGAGAAGCTACTTTCAGGTTTCTTTATTCTCCAGACAGAATTACAAATTCCGTGAAACAAAAAAAAAACCTTTAAACTTTGGTGGTTCTTCATGTTCCTTGCGTTCCCATTCCTGGTGCCCAGAACTGTAGTGTGTCCTCCTGAGCTTTCCTGGTGGTGGTGGTGGTGGTGGTGGTGTCTGGCCAAGCCACACTGGTGGCTCCAGCCACCCTTCGGCTCTGGCTGCCCACTGATGATGGAGGGGGCTGGGATGGGCAGCATCATCAGGGGCTTTCTATTAACAGATCTTGGCTGTCCTTGGGGGAAAATGCTCAGCACCAACCTTACCTTGCAAGTCAACTGTGTTGGCTAGTGGGCCTTTGCTGGCAGGAGCTGGGATCAGCCACAGCACCGTGGTCCTGGTGTCATTGGCTCAGAGGCTCATGATTCCTCTGTTTCCTGGCTTGTCGTGGGTCCAAGGTGAGGAGCCCCAGGGTCAGCAGGACACTTGGTGGTCACAGTGTCCTGCTGACCACCAGGCTTTGGTGGTTTGGTCTGCTCTAAGCTTGCCCGGGGTGGCCCCAAAGATGCGCAGCCTCATACGGAAGGTTCAGGAGCTGATCTCCAAACCAGGCCGGAGCTCTGAGCTCTGCAGATGCTGATGGCACGTTGTGTGTTTCTGGTGATGCAGGCATGGAGGGTCACGCTTACAGTCGAGAGACGTCTCCCCATCCTTTGGAAGTGGCACGTTTCAGCTGATACATTTACCATCGTGCAACTGTGACCGATCTCAACCACCTGCTGACAAAAGCGGCTTTCTCCAAACCACCCAGAGGGCTTCCCCCGTGGGCACTTGCCTCTTAGGTCATTGCATGTACTGTTTTCCTCCATGTGTTTACTAACAATAATCAAACTCAGCAATTTATGGGAGGTTTAAAAAAAAAAGAACAAGACAAAAGGAAAGCCAATACTCCCTGCTCCTAAGTGTACTGACCTTCTTTGATTTCCTCCCAAATGGTGTCATCATCGCGTCGCACAACGGTTATTTCCTCTTGAGTTCTACCCCTCGCTGTGCATTAAATGATGGGTGTAGAGCCTTGTGGGGTGCCTTGCGTGTGACATGGAGGGGGGTCTGCCTTCCAAAAACCACCTTCTGAAAGTATCACACTGTCTGTGTGGATGTCTGGTTGCCATCATGGGCGATGCCACATGTCATCCCGGGAGGAAATGGCAGGGCACACCACGGGTGAAGGGAGGCACCATCTGCCTCCCAGCACTCCTGGCTCTGCTGCTGTTCAGACTGTTACAGAAATTTCCCTTTACAGGCAGGGAATTCAGGGACAGCCATTGCTAGGCTTAGATTAGCATTTCCACATTTGTTTTCAGGAGTCCAGTTCAGTTTTGTTTAAATTAAGAGAAACAACCAGGTTGTGAAGTCTGAGGCTAGCAGCTGACTGCTCGCTGATGCTCACTGAGCTTTTCTTCCATGGCTGCTTAGAAAACATCATGATCAGTTCCAATCACTGGCGATTTTTTTCTTTTTTTTTTTTTTTTGGTGCTTAGGAATGTTATTTTTAGTGGAAGGAGCTGAGTGTCCTAATGCATCTATAAATATTTATCAGGGGTGATGAATGGAATGGAGTGATAAACCCTGAAACCAGCCCTCAGCTTTTCTTCCCATCTGAACTGATACGTGGCCTTGGCTCTCAGTGGAAAGTGCTCGTTGGGTACCTACAGCCCTTGGGGAGAAAGGAAATAAACATTTGTGGTGGCCACAGATTTGGTTGAATATAAATATTGTGAATGAGCTGTCAAGAAGGAGAGGAAAGTGATGATAACCTGGTGCAGCGTGTTAGGTTTAGCCTGCCAAGGGGAGCATGCTCGCGGGGACAGGGGAGGTTTCATGTGTGTTTTCAGATGAATTTGTTAAATGAGGACCTGCAGCAGCTTTGGTTGGAGCACGGAAAATAGGAATGTTTTGCTAATGGCTGCACTCAGGATGCTGCTGGGGTGGTGAAGGCTGTCAGCAGCTGGAGGGGTTATGGCTGTACAGGCGTAGGGGCCTTCGCCCTGCTGACCAGAAGTGCAAGGGGCCAGCAGCACCTCCTGGCACCTCACGTGAGCAAGAACCCAGGGGCATGCAGCAAAGTCCCACTGGGTCCAGTATCAGAACCACAGGTGTCTTCCAGGGATGGGTCATCTGCACCAACAGCCATGCCAGTGGTGGGGGGCTGCACCATGGGACAGCCTGTGCAGGTGATGGGAGAGCCGTGTGGGATGGTGGGGTGAAGTCACCACCTCCTTAGAAGTGCCAGGGCCCAAACTGTGGCACGGAAATGGAAGGCAGGGATGAATACACATCTCTTTCCGCCGTCAGGGAAGCCTGGATCCCGGGGGAGCATCATGTTTGCTGCTTTTATTCTGTTATGTTGCACTCTGCAACTTTCCCTTCTTGTTTTTGCTACCCCGACTGCCCAGAGGCAGATCCTCCTGCCGCAGCCACAGCCTTGGACACAAGCATCTCTCTGAGCCTGTGGTCCAGCTGCAGGTGGAGGAGATGCAAGGCCAGGCACTCAGAGGGGAGAGACCCCCCACACACCAGGGGTCTTGCAGCCAGCCCTGACACCCTACAGGGATCATGGGTGGACATGGATGGGAGGCAGCCATCGCTTCATGGGCTGATGCAAGCTCAGGTATGGCAGGGAGGGTGCTTGTGCCTCTCCTTCCCCCCAGTCACAGGAACAGTGATAGCCAGTGGAGCTGGGGCTTGTTCAGAAAACCTGGCAGAATCGATGGAGTTTTGTACAGACACAGCCAGGAAGTTGTCTGTGTATGTTAAATGTGTCCCTTCGTGCCGTGGCTCTGCATTACCTCACCCATGATACCATTTGTTTTAGCCAGCAAAGTGTTTTAGCAGATGCTTTATATTACTGGTTGGTTGGGGCTGCAGGTTGTTGCTGGTGGCTGCAGCCCTGGCTGCTGCAAGAGGACAGCCTTCACTCAGGCACCACTGGAGTGGGAGGAACCTGTATCCCCCCTGATCTAAACAGTCCTGGAAAGGCTGCAGTCCTGCAGTCATTGTGCACCCTGCAGCCAGCAACAGCAGCCCATCAGTGAGACTAGCTGGGTCCATGCGTCACATCACCAAGGCCTGAGCTTAATTACACTTGACCTCATCAGCCTGCTTCTTATGGCTTCCCTCCGCAGCCACTTGGAGGTGATGGGGACGATGCCGCAGCCATTCCTGCCTTGCCCTGCGATGCATGGTGATGCCAAGCAGAGCACGGTAGGTGGCTTGGCCAGTGCCCTGGGCAGGCTGTCGTGACATGATACCCAAGTGTGTCATTTAGGGAAGTCACTGCCGGTCTACAGACCCTGTCAGAGAAGTCCAGCTGGTGCACATGTCACTGCTCCTGGCACTGGGGTAGGCAGTGTGGGCTCAAAGCACAGCCTGGGGCACAGACTGGTCCAGCCAAGCCCAGAAAGTACAAAGACAAGCATGGATGCTGTACTGTGGCCAGCAAGGGTGTTCCTGAAACAAGGCAGGATGCCCAGGATCATTTTGCACCCCAGTAGCACCAGGCACCTCCATTGGTGACATACTGGGACATTGTGTAGGGGAAAAAACACCCAGCACCCCAGCTTGCTTACAATTAACTTCGAAACCTGCTTAGGAACTGTTGTTTGCCTTTGGAATAATAGCCTTAAGCCTCCCAGGAGGAACAGTTCAGGCCTGGCTTTAATACATGTCCCCAGGCTGTGCCCCCCTCCAGTGTTACTGCACCCCAGCCCTGGCACGGGTGGGTTCCAGAGGCCATGGCACTGTGCTGGGTACCGGTTGCTCCCCAGCCACTCACCCCAGCCCTTGCTCGGTGTCCTGGAAGCTCCATGGAAATCTGCTCTGGAGAGCTGGAGAAGCTGCCGGGGTGGGAGCCGGGTGCATGTGCACGTGTGCTTGTGTGCACTGCAGACAGCATGTCGCATGCCAGTGCTGCTCTCAGGAGATCCACTGGATCCGAGCGTTCTTGCCAGTGACTGCTCAGCTCCCAAAGGATGGCTGGTCCCCGGCATGGACCCAGTGCCTCAGTGGTGACCGGAAGACATGCTGTGGTGTAGGCATTGCACCTGTAATTAAGCCCCTTTTTAATTCCCACTTGGGCTGAACACCGGCTGGGGCAGAGCTGTATTGCTCACAACACCTTCTCGCAGTGGGCAGAGGCAGACAGCAGCACCCATCCAATTCAGGTTGAAATGAAACTTCAGTTTCCCGTGGAAAAAACCCACCTGACCCAGAAAGCAAAATGCCACCTAAAAACGTTTTCTCATGGGAAAATAACCTGGACAGAGCTATGTCCCTGCACCGGCATCTCTGGCCACTGTCCTGGTGCCGAGGGTTAAGGCCAGGGGAGGGAAACCTCTAGTTTTCATGGGGTAGGGAATAGGGCACCATGCGATGTGTCCCATGCCTGGATGGTCTGCCAGTGATGTGCGAGGGGAAGGCACGGGCTTTGGCCATTCATGCCATCGCTCAGAGGCTTCCCAAGCCCCTGCTGTGCCCATGCAAAGGGAGTGTCCCCAGCAGAGCCCAGCAGTTGGGATCAGGGAGCACACCAATCTTTGGCGCCATTGCCTATTCCTGGCACCTCATGAGTCTGGCTATGGGCACGGGGAGAGCGGGAGCATCCCTGGGAGCGCCTGACAAACCCATGCTGGAGCTGATGCTCTAAATGTGGGCAATGTCTCTAACAGAAACCTGTAAACTGGAAGCCATGTTCTGTCATCTGCCAAATACTTAATAAATTCATCTCATCCCTAAGGGGTGTCTCGTCCCTTCGCCGCTTGAAAGAAAAACCTGAGATGTTAATGAAAAAGCAAAAAACAAGGTTTTTAAGAGCTCCAAAGCAGGGGGCAGCAGGAGAGCAGCTGCCAGTGCTTTGCCATGGGTCCGCACAGAGCAGCGAAGCCAGGAGATTACCCACATTTGTCATGGCTGCAGGTCACTGGGAGCAGACAGAGCTGCCTGTGTTCAGAGCCAGGGCATCTGTGCCATCGGCACCACGCCAGCGCCCCGTCCCAGCTGCCCCCATCCTGCCAGATGTTTCCCTGCTGCAAACGCTGCACCGTTAAGCACATCTGGAGAGAAAGGGTGAGGGCCGGGCTCGGAGGGCAGCAAGGTGGGAGCAGCCACACTGGAGCCCCCCATCCCCTCCCAAAGCAGCACTAGAAACTGGGGAAGGGGAGAGCTTGGGTTTGAGGTAGTGGGTGCCCAACACCCCCAGCAAAGGCTCCAGCAATGGTGGGGCCATTGTTGCCGCTGCTCCCATCAGATGTGGAGCCAGTGATGGAGGCTCATCCCCATTCAGCACCAGTTCGGGGGTGGCTCACGGCCAGCACCAGCTATCCCATAGGGTTACCCAGGTCCCCGGCAATACCTCGTGCCCCCTGCAACCACTGCTGAAGGACCCCCCCGGCCCCCACAGTCAACAGGCAGGGCTGCCTTGACTCTGCTTACAGAGAGGAAACCTTAGCCCTCGGAATCCACAGCTTCCCAGGCACAGATGCATCCCCTCCACTTCCCAGCCCCAATAATTTGGCACAGTGCTGCCCAGCTCCAGGCACTCTTTTGTTTTAGGGATTAGGTGCCTTGGTGGGAAAGATGTGGAGTCTTCCCATAGCCAGGGGGTCTCCCGGCTGCTGCCAGGCCTGGGGCAGCTCTGCTCCTCATCCCACATCACCAGGGTAGCTCTGCTTCCAATCCAACATCCCTGGGGCAGCTCAGCTCCCCATCCTGCATCCCCGGGGTAACAACTCCCCATCCTGCATCCCTGGGGTGGCTCTGCTCCCCATCGCACATCCGCCACCTGAGAGTGTGCCCAGGGAGGGAGCAGTGGGTGCTGCATCCCCCAACCCAATCAGCAATGCCCAGGACCACCTGGGGACACAGTCTGTGGTGACAGGGTGCCCCATCTCTCCCTCTCTCAGGCACAGAGGGCCCCTGTGGTAGGGACACTGTTCCTGCATCCCCAGGATTCCTGCATCCACAGCACCCTGTGCTGCTCCCTCCCCTCCTTGGCACCCACAGTTCCCCAGGAGCTGCCTGACACCCAGCCTCCGTCACTGGGTGCCTGGGGACCCCCCACTCCAGCCCATACCGAGATAACGGGAATCAGGTGGACAGGCCAGTAGATGATGACCACGAGTGCTGTGCCCATCACCAGAACATGCTTGCTGCCGTGCACCCCTTCCAAGGAGGATGTGGGTGCTATGTGTCACCTGGCTGCTATGACAAGGGGGACATGGGTGCTGTGTGTGGACATAGGACCTGTTTGCAGGCTGCAGCCAGGGTGCCTGTCTAGTGGCACCCATGTCCCTGCTCCTGTCCCTCTGTTTATTCTACAGGTGATAACACTTCTACATCTCATTGGTGCCGCATTTAAATCAAATTACCCCCCAACCCAAATTACCACCCCACCCTCAGGAGGGGATCAGCTGCTGCTCAGCACGGAGCTGCAGGTGGACTCAGGCCCATAATGATTCCAGGGACCCCATGCATCCCACACAGACCCCAGGGACTCCATGTGCCCCACGGAGACCGAGGAGTCTCTGTGCAACCCAAGGAGACCTCAGAAACTCCATGTGCCACACGGAGATCCCCAGGATCCCCTAAGCCCCACATCTGGGCTCAGGCATGGGCACCCCTTGCCAGGATCCCCCCAGCCAGAGCTGGGAAAGGCCCCAGCCCACCACCCACAATGCCCATCCCCGTGCTGCAGCACA